AGAAGAGAAAAAGAAATTTGAAAATCATTAAATTACTTCATTACCAGGGTCGATTACAGAGATATAATACATACTGAGGGTCTGTATTTTGGGAAAAGATTAAAGAATTAAAAATGCAGTAATAAGGTTATGGCAAAAAAATTTGTTTGTTTTGCAAGAAGTGAAAATTTTCTATATGTAAATAATAAATGGAAATGTAGAATTAGAAGGCCACTTTTGAACATAATTTGATTTAGTAAACTTTTAGAATGCAACAATCTTCCTTCCTGACTTTTCACCCTAACTCTGGTAGTTAGGTTTTTTGAATTTGTAAGTTTACACATTGCAATTGAATATTATGGCAAACTTAAAAAATTATTGCTCTCTGTTCATACTAAAGTTTAGTGGCTATTTTCTTTTCTATTATTTTTAACACTAGGGACTGTTGCATGAACATATCCCTGATGTACAGTAAATTGGCATTACTTGTGGCAATAGAAAAACAAGAACTACATGAAACAAAATATAAACAAAACAAAAATTGGATCTCTTTACATACTTTCAAAATAAAGAGATCTGGCTGATCTCGGATGCTCTTTAAGAGTCTTTCCTTCCCTGAGAGACTATCTCTTTAAGAGTCTGGGATACTAATATTAATTGAAATCTACAGTAAGACATCCATCCTTAAATTTTATATATACATATACAGGAGATATAGTTGAGTTTCTTTAACCTTATCAGTCTCTCAAAATAGCTGAGTCATTGTGCTTCCTATGCTTCTAAATGGTGACATTCTACGCCATTAAATAAAAATGTGTCATGGGGAACCAAAATCCCATGCTTCATACCACAAGATTGACTAAATAGGGTTGACACAGTGGAGGATTCACGCCTGTGTATTTTGCAGTTGTCTCCAGGAAAGATCAAGAATGGTTATGAAGCATTTCCTGTAGTATGTGAGCATAACAACACGTAAGCAACATAGGAGTCAAGAAGTTTCAAAACTGCTTTTGAAAATATCCATGATAGATATGCAAGCCTGCAAATCGCAATTAAAATCATTTTCTATAATTATGGTTATTGGTCAGCTGGGATGATGAGATATAGAGAGTAAATAAGAATTTACCAAAGTGTATTCAATCAATAAGTAGATTTTTTAAAGGAAAAGGGAAAATGTTTCTGTCATCTAAATGTTACAACAGGTATTTTCTAAATTAAATAAATAATCAAAGTTGCTGACTTAAAGTCCCTGTAGTAATGCTGGATCCTCCTCCAACCCAGAATTCAGAGATTAATTCACACTGACCAAAGTAAGACCTTCACATTTTGTGTTCTTCAACAGACTAATATCCTCTAGTGATTCTCATATACACTCTAAATTGAAGGAGGGGGGATTTAAGTTCTAGATAAATGAGCAACTGGCTGAGCCTATGGAAGAATCATCATCTCTCTGAGCCTCATTTTCCACTCTGAACAACGCTGATAATACTATTTATGTTGTTGAGTTGTTGTGACCCCTAAATGGGTTAGTGTATGTGCCTGGCACATAGTAAGAGCACAACTAATCGTATTTCTGTCTTCTGTAGTAGGTGTTTGTTTATTGACTAAACAAACTGTAGGATGAACAATAGGTTACAGCTTTAATTTTTAATTTCAAAAGCGATGTGGCAAAACCTTGATAATTGTTGAATCTGGGTAATGGGTATATGGGGGTTTATTATATATTATTTTCCTGTTTTTGTATATGTTTAAAATTATTCATCAGAAAAAAATTTAAGTGTGAATTATTTGAAAAAAACACACATTAGAACCTATATTTCTAATCTCGCATTTTATTTTAAGTTGCAATTTTTAAGATTTTCCTATATGTACTGGAAGGATAAACACAATTATATATATATAGATATATATGGATGTTGGGTGGGGAATAGAACTGGAGAACAATCCACATGATCTTCAACTTTTGTGGAATTTTTTTATTATAACAAAGATCCAAAAATATGACAGTGTTGATGTTTGTTAATTCTAGTTGTTGGACTCATGGATTTTTATTATATTCTTTGAAATATTTGATTTGAAAAATTTCAAATTAATATAAAATCATCTTATTGTTTTAAAAAAATTATTACAAAGAATGCAAATATAGATATATACCAAAAAAGTAAAAGTAGTACCCCACCATCCAGAAATAACCATCCTTAACATTAAGTGATGATTGTTCTGTACGTCTTTCTTTCCATTTATAAAAATAGAAGAGTGCAGACCATTAATATATAATGTGCTACTCCAGAGACACATATGTTTTTGGTATGTTCATTTGTTTTTGGTCTTTGATAGAAGTTCTAAAAAACAAGCCTGTTTGCATTTTGATTTTTAAGACTTTAGACTGTCTTTTAAATGTAGCATTTATTTAAAACTTTAGTATGCAATAACTGATTTTCAATGAGTTTTAAGTAGTTTAAGTTTATTTACAAATAAGATGTACTTTTAGCTATTTAAAATAGATCCCATAATTTGAAACTAGGCTTAATATTATTTCAACATTTGAATTTCATTAAAATGCAAGCTCCATGAGGGCAGGCATTTATTGAATTATTGCATATATTAATTAATATTTTTCTGGCCATAAAATGCAAGCTCCATGAGGGCAGGCATTTATTGAATTATTGCATATGTTAATTAATATTTTTCTGGCCATTTGAAAGTTAATGGACAGTTAATTTTGTTATAATGCTTGTTTTGAAAACAAGCATCATTCCAGTGCAATTGAAATATTGGAATAACTTGAGCATAACATGAATTTTGCTCTTGCTTATGCATGATTTACTTAGTAGGAACACCAAGTGAATGTATTAGACTATAACCATCTGACCTGACCATGTAGGAATGCACAAAAAGCACACACACACACACACACTTCAAATATTTACCAGCTACCTTGGTTCACCACATGTTATCCTGCAAGATTGTGTTATGCTATTCTTTTGCACTTGTGAACTTTTCTATATAAAAACACACTCATTCAACATCCCAACGATGTCTAAGCAGCTTGATTCAAAAATAATAAATAGTGTATGCAAAAGGAAAGCTTAAATACTGAAGAGAAGCTTGAGATAATGAAATGTTTTGAGAGGATTAAGAAAATAGTGATATTTCCTGAGCAACAGGAACAAAAGAATGAATAATCCACACTGGATCATGACAGGCAACACCACAAAAATAAAAAATCTCTATGGCTGGGAAAACTGCAAGTATTGCAAAGTCAATAACAACAAAGCTGAAAAAATTGAAGAAGTGAAAAGATTGTTGAGCATGTGGATTTACTACCAAAGAGTGAACAATCTGAGCTCCTTTCTCTATAGAAACACTATGAAAGAAATTGCAACACCCTGCAGAAGTGCACCTTTTAGCACTAGCAGTGGCTGGTTTGGTGGTTTCAAACATTACGGACCCTGGTGTATGGTCCACCTGGTTATTTAGCCAGAAAAAAAAAAAGAGAGAGAGAGAGAGAAAAGAAAAGATTATAGCTAATTAGCTGGAACACATGAACTTGTTAGATGTGTTTTCCAGGAAGGAACATGAGAACCTTAACTAAAATAAGCATGGAAAAAGTGAGTTCATTTGCTGAATATAGGTCACTTGGAGGAGAGGGAAATGAAGGTGTCCACCTTTGGCTCATATCTAGAAAAGACTGTTTAATGTATCCATGGATCCACTTCTCTTGCATCTTTCATCAAGAATCTCTGGCGAACTTACTGCATAATGTAATAGCAGCCGTTCCAAAGTAAATGGCTTCCTGCTTGTCCCCTTAGCCATTTCTAGGAATTGGAAAAGTCAGAACTTGAAGCAGAGCATGGATTTTGTTTAAAGCAATCGAACGACAAGCTTGAGAAAGAGAGGTTTACTGCTGTTTCTTTAAATCAAGAATTATAGGGCGCTGAGTGATTCAACATAGGGCACACCTTCCTATCACTCCGTTGCTCAAAAAATTGTCATTTCATAAGACATTTAAACTCACCGAATCTAGAACTGAAGGGAGAAAATAAGAATGTTGTTGATTTGTTCCAATAATCCAAATATTTAGATTCAAATATACCTGAAGCAGTGTGTTATGGTGCTTAAGAGAATAAAATAAACATAGCCAAGCTCTTATTTGTATGGAAGGCCAAAGGTATTCAAGCATTCGCCTGCCTGGGAGTGAATCTGGGCTCTATCATTTATGTATCCTTAGGTAACCTACTTAAATTCCCTATATTTCAGTTTTCTCATCTATAAAATGAAGACAAGAAAACTACCTATTTCAAAAAGTTGTAAGTATTAGATGACATGGCACATAGTAAGTAGGTACTCAGTAAATGTTA